TAAAATGTTTAAAAAGCTTCATTTAAAATTAAATTAAAATGCAGAGCCCCCCGGACCGGTGGCCAGGACCCGGGCAGTGTGAGTGCCGCTGAAAATCAGCTCACGTGCCGCCTTCGGCACACGTGCCATAGGTTGCCTACGCCTGATCTAAGGTCAAATCAACTGATGTATTTTCATTTGTGAGAAACACAAAGTGTAAACAGCTTAACTAGTGAAAAGCAAGTTAGATATTAAAAGTTCTTTCAGATTTAATAATCCAAGGTATTATTCATAACACAGATAAGGAAAATTGCTTTTTAGGAATATACAGTTTTTACCAGACTGTGGTCTCTTTTAAATGACTGTGCAGCATGTATATGAGATGTCTCTGGAGAAAGATGTCATCTTGCAAGAGGAAAGCAAATTCCTCTCTTCCCCTCCCAGTGAGCACGTTGTCACAGATCTGCCTTTCTATTGGGTCTATGCAGTGACCTTAAAGCAGTTCTTTATAAAGAGTCAAAATCCTGTTGCTCTCAGGGTCTTATCTCATTTCTTCAAGAAAACAAAATACTACCTTTAAAGACACAACGAGGAAAAATATGTTTTCTACCTCATCTTATTTAGCAGTGAGCTATCAGGCCAAATCCCACTTACATTATTCACCCAAATAAACCTATTAGCTTTAAGAGAGGCCATGTGGCCTAGTGAATAGAGCAGAGGACTAAGCCTCTGGGTTCTGTTCCCACCTCTATCTGGGTGACTTTGGGCAAGTCACTTCAGCGGTCTGTGACTCAGTTTCCCTGCCTGTAAAATGGGAATAATGATACCTCTTTTTTTTAAAGCGATTTGAGATCTACTGATGAAAAGAGAGATGAATTATCATTAAATGACATTACACCTAATTCATACCAGTGTAACTAAGAGTAATCAGGCCTAATATATTTACTCTGCAGCACAGATTTTACTGGTGGCGTCATTGGGACAGTATGAAGACTGGTATAGGAAGAGATTGCACCAAATCCAAAGTGGTGGTTTGTTTTACTGAAATGAAACTGTGAAATCTTGGCAGTTTTAGAATTCTCAGCAATGCTGTGGGGGTGGGGAACCCAGTTACCCCAGCAGATAATTAAGAAAAGAAATAAGATGACTTTAGATTTTCTAAGATCCTGCTTCTGCTTGCATTGAATTCAATGAAAATATTGCCATTGGCTTTAGTTGGAGCAGGACCTGGCCCTTGAGCCACCTTGTCCTTCAAACCCTGCCTCATGTTAATAACCTTATTGATTTTACCCTTATTACATTTTATAGCACTTTTTGGTGAGGGAAGTATTGGGCCCTAAACCCTTGCATGTTTGTGCAAATGAAGGCTGAGGTCATACAATGTTATTTTGCGGAGGGTGCAACTTTTTGCAAGGCATTAAGCCCCAGGAGCCATCTCTGTGCCTTTCCAAACACCAGCAACAGAAATCAGCCAGCCGTCCGTATTGTTGTTGTACTAGCATGTGGGAAGATTTGGGGAGGAATCCATCTGCCAGGAGCAGGAATCCAGCCTGCCAAGGAGAATGAAGCACAGAAGCAACCCGAGACTGCTTTGGCAAAGGGGAGGAGGAGCACTGCCCCAGGAAGAAGTGATCAGAGGACGGAGCTCCTGTGATCTGCAGCTGGCACCACCTGTCTGGAAGCACCAAAAGCTAATGGGAAAACACTGGTCCCTAGCCAATTCTGTCTGAGTTAGCACTTCCAGAATGGGTCTATGTGATGAAAGACAAGATGATCCCTGCTGAAGTAATGGAAACATTTTAAGCAGGTGATGTCTGTAAAGTACTTTGAAGATATTACATGCTAAATGCTATTATTATTATTAATGGCCCTGATTAAAGAAGGTACTTAAGAATGCACATAAGTCCCATTGACTTCAGTGGCTGAATTGGGGGACCATAGATAGTAACTGCTAGGCCAATTTTGTGATGAAGCAGCAGGACTGAAAGCCAAAGGCCAGAGCTACAGAGGAGAGGAGGCCAGGAGTAGAAGCGTTTGTTGTCAGGTAATGCAAGGCAGGAGTGAAGTCTATTGAAGACCTCCATGAAAGAAAGGCTCGGGACTGGGATGACAAGGAGTGCCATAGATCGGGAGTGTGATTCCTTGGCAGAGCTGTGCTGATGGTGGGATGTGTGGAAGGAGTAACTCGGTTGCTACAGATCCTGACAGGTGCAGTGCCAGAGCATTTGAAGCCTCAGAACTGGAACAGGAGGTTTTTTGTGAGTCAGGGTTGAAGTTTATGTGAGGAAGTTGGTACAGCACCTGCCATGCCATGTCCCCATTGCAGTCAGTCATTCCCATTAATTAGCTTCTTAGAGTTGGTAGGGTAACTCCCACCTTTTCATGTTCTCTGTATGTGTATATATATCTCCTCACTATATGTTCCATTCTATGCATCCGATGAAGTGGGCTGTAGCCCCGGAAAGCTTATGCTCAAATAAATTTGTTAGTCTCTAAGGTGCCACAAGTACTCCTGCTCTTTTTGCGGATACAGACTAACACGGCTGCTACTCTGAAACCTGTCATGCAAGAATGGATTTTTCCCCACAATGATAAATGAGCTGTCATCTATTCCTGAAAACAAATGTAATGATTTCTGTGTGACATCATGCACCTTTCACCCCTCTGAAATGTTGACTGCACACACAGTTTCAAACACTGTGCTCCTTTTCTGGAACTACCTCCTGCTCTCCCAGATTTTGATATGTTTCTGGGGTTAGAAAGTTAAATAGCTACGCTCCCTGAGCTCTGTTATGGTCTGCCATGCTGATGAATGGTAATGTCCTCAATGTAATCAAGCCATGTTTGAATGGTGGTTAGCACTGTAAATATTGAAGGAAGACTGGAAATTTATAAATGGATAATCACTTGTAGCATTTATGGCTAATTTTTGGCTCAGAATAATCCTTCATATGCTGGGGACGGTGATGATATAAGAGGTCAGGACGGAGCCCTAGCATGCCATGGGCAGCAAATAGCCAAATAAAACACTTGAAATTCAATGCAGCAGAAAAAAAATAAAAAGCAGGATGGAAAATCCAAAAGGCTTTATAGAGTAATTGAGGAGATACTCAGAATTTCATCAAATCATAGAATCTCAGATTATCATGAATCATGATTATCTTATTAATTACACGAATACATTTTATTTCTATGGCATCCACCTGCCTCTTCCTGTAAAACACATTAATAATATAATTTAAAACAACAATTAAATGAAACAGAAAGGCAGCAATGGCAATCACTAACTCTTGCCTAAATAATGCTTTGTTCCCCCAGTTGTTGTTGTTATTATTTGGACTTATAAAACCTTGGAGATGTTTTTTGAAATAGAAATAGTTATTTCTGCACTTTCCCATCAGATCACTTATTTATCAGGACAAACACACTCCAACATGAGTGTAGATAAAGCAGTATGTGAAACCACTCTTCTTTTCAGATGCAACCCACAGAGACTTTCCTCATTGTGGGCAAAATATTTATTTTGGCAAAAACAAAATAATGTGTAGTCTGACAAGGGAGATAGGAGAGGTAGGATGAACAGTAAGAAATTGGGCTGAATTGAGACTTGTGATGAGAGCCGGGTCAGAAATGGTATTCCCATATTGCAAAATTTTTTGAGATTTCAAAACATTTTCCCAGCCTGAATGAGGAAAAAAGTTGAAATCTTGATTTTTTGTGTGAATAATAATAATAATAATAATAATAATAATTTAAAAAAATCTGCTCAGGTCAAACAATATGTTTTGTTTATTTCAATTTTGAAATTTATCTTTCTTTTAAATAACTTTTAGTCTACATTTATTAACATTTCAAAATGAAAAGTCATTTTGAATCAAAAACCTGAAATGTTTCCTTATGGAAAAGTTGAACCAGGATATTTTGACAATTTTGAAACTTTTCAAGTTGGGAGAATCCTTGAAACCAAAACAGTTTGATGAATCAATGAAAAATCAGAGCAGTCCCATTGATTTCATTGGGACTGCTTGCATGGGTAAGTTTAGTGTGAGGTATTGTGATGTTGGTGTGAGTGGATGCCACGCCACAGAAGTCAGTGGAAGTGTGCCTGGGTACACCAGGTCTGAATTTAGCTATTGTACATTGTGGAATAGAATAGAATGATTTAAATGTATTGTGCTGGGTATGAATTTGGCACCATTCACTGGATTTTTAGCTGTAATTCTTGTACTTCTGTACTGTCAGAGGAACTTTGTGTAGTGTCCAAGCAACGGGCTGGGAGTCAGGAGACTTGAGCTCCATTGCTGGCTTGGCTGCTGACATACTGTGGATGAATCATTTAATCTTCCCGTGTCTTGCATCTGAAGAAGGGAGGTTCTTACCCACGAACGCTTATGCTCCCAATACTTCTGTTAGTCTTAAAGGTGCCACAGGACCCTCTGTTGCTTAATCTTCCCTTGACTCAGTTTCTCCATTTTACAAATGGGGCATAAAGGCACCGATCCAGCTTTGTAAAGTACTTTGACGTGGTTGGATGAATGATGCTTTGGAGATGCAAAGCAGAGGATGGGGATAGCAGTGCTCATTGCAAATGAATGGTTGCTAGACCTTTTCCAAATAGAAAAACCTTTTAGAGCGAGAGAATGGATGAAGAAGTCTCAGCATTTCTTTCGATTGTTTTGATCACCGGGAAATATTTTGCAGCTTTCCGAAGTCACCAAGAAGAGTCTGACCCTGAACAGCGCAGTCAATCGCCTTCAAACTTTTCCTTGCATCTTGGGATCAAAACAAGAGGTAAAGAGAAACCCGTGTTGTTGCTGTTGAGAGGCTCCCCCCTTTCAATGGCAGGAAGTTTCTTTCTTGACAGCAGGTTGCTATTTTCTCTGAGGAGTTTAGTAATTAGCTAGATGACATGCCCCGTATTACATGTAGGAGCTTGGCTACAAAAGCCTGCGTGTAGAGGAAGCAGCCTGGCTTGGCTGAGACACACACAACAGACAAGACATAGCTGGATCTTGACCTCTGAACATGCAGAAGGATCACTGCTGAAGTGGGTTTTTTTATTGTGGTGCGCTGTAGACTGCCCTGGTTTGTCTTTAGTAAGAGCCACCTGAACTTAAGACCCCTCCCCTCTCCCTTTGCTGTCCCTTCCGCATCTTCCAACAGATTGCAGCTTGCAAAAGGATCTGCTTCAGTGTGTGTGTGTGTGTGTGTGTATTGCCTGGAAAAGTGTGAGCCATCTTTTGGGAAACGCCAACTACCGAGTGGATCTATGAGGCTGCTTCCTTGTTTTCTAGTTTAAAGAAACTTTTCCTACGTGGAGTCCAACTCCTGAAAGTGACCTTTGCGGGAGGCTGGCTGGGATCAGAGGGCAGGAAGGCTCGGGAGAAGAGGAAACCTGGAGCACCCGCAAGGAGGCTGGAAGGCGGCTATTGGAAGGAACTCGTGCGGCTGTTGTTGTGGGATGAGAAGCCGCCAGGCGCCGGCCGCGGTCCCTGTGTGTTTGACAACAACCTCTCCTGGTCCTGCCGGGGCAGTGTGCGGGAGAGCTCTGCCAGCGACAAGGTAATTCCTCCTTTTCTCTTTCTCCTCGCCTGTAGACGGCCGAGCCCTGAACGTGACAGACTCGCACAACTTCTTCTTCTCCTTGTTCGGGTCTCTTTGCAAATGAATGAGCGCAGCCCGTGGACTCTCTCCGGACGCTTTGATTTCCGGCGCTTGGCTAATGCAAAGCGGGGTAAACAGGCAGTGGTCCCTTCTCGACTTTCCTTTCCCCCTTCCCTAGCTGCAGTGGGCTCCGGATCAGACCCTCAACCCAGCACATCCCAACCCTCAGCGGGCCCAATCCAGCCCCGGGGGGACCTCCAGGGAGGTCTGGCTCACCCAGGACTGTCCTGGTCTTAAAAGGAACAAGGATCTGTCCAGTTGCACTGGGGTCAGAGCCAGGTCCGTGCCGTGCTGGGCTGGGGGGTGAGTTTGCAGTGTGTGAAGCGCAGTGGCTTTTCTCCTGAACTCCAGGCAGACAGGGGAAGGGTGAGGGTGTTGGCAGGTTATGAACCGACTGCCTTTTGCTTTAAGCATGCCGGATTCTCTCTCCTTCTTTTCCTTTTAAAGAGATTAGGGGGTCAATAGAAATCTATGTTCAGGGGCATGGTTAATATACTTTGCACACATGTGACGATATGAAAGTGATCGTATGACGCTTAAAAAGGAGTTTAAACCCATCAACGGGACAGCCACACACAGTCACATGAATAGGCCCTATGCCACAGTCCTTACTCACTCCAGCAGACTTTACTCGCCTGAGTAATCCCATAAGAAATGACTTGGGTTTGTGAAGGTTGTGAAATCAGACTCGTTCATTGTGGCTGTACACAGATATTGATCACAAATTCTGTAACGTTAAAGGAACCAACCTTGCAAATGAATTGATTTCCTCTGCACTCCAACAGATTATACATAATACATTATGCCACTCTTTTGAGCAAATACCTGCAAGAGAAAGAGGTCTTTTAAAAAGTATACACTTTCTAGGCATTACAGTCAAATGTATTTTGAATTCCAATTGTCAGAGGACCCAAACTGAGCAAAGTCCATATATGATTTGCCACAAACCATAGAGCATAAAGTAATATAAAGAAATCCTTGCACATTAATTATGGGAGAGAATAAGGAGTTTAAAGAAAAAAGATACTTCCTAGACTGGGCCAGATTCTGACCTCATTCTGAGCTTACGTTTGTATAACTCTACTGACTTCAGTGAGGTGACTTACTGGTGTGAATAGCATTAGACTCAGGCCTTGTATTTTACTTACTGAGGGGCTGATCCAGAGCCCGTTGAAGTCGAGGGGAATATTTCCATTGGCTTTCATGGGCTTTGGACCTTTTCTTGAGGTCTCAACCCTTCAGCCCTTTCTCATGTGGGCAGTCCCAATAAAACCAACAGGAAAAGTTGCCCAAGTCAGATTTACTCATGTGAGTAATGTTTACAAGATCAGACTCATAGGTTCCTGTTAGATTGTATGTTCAGATATCCGCCTTTGCTTATGCTGTAGGTTATATGTTAACATTTACTAGGAATAATATTTCAAAATATAATAATAATATAATACAATAACTAACTTTTAAGATGACGCTTCACATTTTCTCTCTGCTAATGACAGACTGATTCCCCCCCCCACTCCCCAGATTTAGTTACTGCTGTTTGCAAGAAAATCAGAAAGCTTCTATTTTTAAACAAGGTTGGTCTACTGTACGAATATTAATGTTACACAGGTCTGAAAGGCTGTGCTGATTACAGGCTATTAAAATCTAAATGCTTGATATGGTGAACTAGGTCTAAACTTGCTGTAACTGTTTAAATCAAGTATTCATGGAATGCCAGTCACTCCCTCCATGATATCTTGAGCGATTGGCTCTGGGGAAATGGGAGAAGAAAAAAAGGGCCAATTTTATCTCAATGAAAATATCCTAACCAGTGTCTGACTATGGGGTAGTCTGATTGGAGACTCTTTGAGGGCCTGATTCTGCAGTCCCTGCTGACACCAGGAATCTGGTTGAAATCCGTGGGAATGCTTGTAAGAGCAGGATTTGGCCTGTAATCAGACAACTGTCTGGATTTAGGCCAGAATGGAGTCTTTGAGCTGTCCCCAGCCTGTCTCCTTATTGCAGTAGGATGTGCTAAAAATCTACATATTGTTCAACCCAATATGTCAATTTAGGCCGAATGTCAGGAAAATTTACCTTGGAGTGAGATCTGTGCATCTTTGAAATAGATAGATATCTTTTTAGTTAAGGCCATGGAGAATATACTGTGAGGAGCAATTCTGGTAGAGCAATTAATTATCTGAGCAGAGAAGTCTCTTGACCACACTTCTCTGGTTCTATCATGGCCTAAGACAATGGGCCAAATCCTTGTGCCTTCATTGACACCGGTGGAATGTCATGGGTGTAACCGAGGGCAGAATCCGGCCCCCGGCTTCTGTGTTTGTAGAGATTGTTGCTTTCCGAAGCCTAGCTTTGTTACTTATTGCTAGCAGGGCTGAAGACGGTAGCTTTGTTGATTAGCGAGTTTGCATGCAGTGCATCCCCTGGTGGGTGAATAGATTTTAAGAAATGTTGTCCTAGCTCATTTCTTTTGGTTATTTTGCTCATGTGCCAGGCCTGGTTTATTGGAAGAAAGACCTTGGTTGAAGTCCTACTACAGCAAGAGCACCAGTCTGCTGTAATTGTAGCATGCACATTGTTTGAATGAAGGGGTTGTTGATGGTTCTCATTCAGGCCAATGTAATAGATTCCCTTCTAGAATCTATGGAGCAGATGGGAAAAGCTGCCTGATGTGTAAAGAGGAAGAAGCAGGTGCAGCTGTCCAAAGGGGGGGGGGGGAAGTGTGTGTGCGCGTGCACACGCAAACAAAGCAGACAGAAAGATGGCATTGTCTCAAGCATGAAAATTGCACAATGAAGTGCTGAAAAATTGAAAACACTGGGTGACACTCCAGCCCCACTGAAGTCAGTAGGCCTCTTGCCATTGATTTCAATGGGGCCAGGATTTCACACAGTGGCTGTGCAAACTGAAGCTGAACTTGTTCAGCTGATCACTGTCGGGTTTAACTGGTCTTGACAGCATTACATAGGCCATGTTATCCACCAAGATGGACTGGGGACTATGTAGCTAAGTGGGTGGGAGACTTAGCTATTTTTCCAGGACAGGACCATTCTTTTCAGGTCTGCATGTCTCCTCTTCATAAGTTTCTTCAGCCTATATAGTGTTTTATCCTGTATGGTACAAGGCTGGCCAAAATGTTTTGAACAAACAGGTTTTTTGGTGGCAAAATGGCTCTTTATTCAAAATTGAAAATGTTCACCAAAGACTGTCCACTTTTGAAATCTTTCACAACCTTTTTTTGATATGTTTTGTTTACGATTTTTCATGTATTGATTTCCCCCCTCCTTTCCTATTTCCCTTTTATTTTGTTCCTTTTTTCCTCTTTCCACAGTTATTTTCAAAAGTGATTACAAAAGAAACCAAAAAAAAAACCCCTGAAAAATCGAAAGAGGAGTAAAAGAAAAGAAGGAAAAATGAAAATCAATAAATGAAAAAAATCCCAAAATGACAAAATCTGAGTCCACTTTGAACCCTGTGAAACAAAAACAAACTGGATTTTTTTTGCAGATTTTTTTGCAATCCGAGTGTCTGAGCACTGAGTGTCCTCAAACTCCTGTTGATTTCAGTGGGATTGGGGAGCTCAGCAACTCCTAAAACTGGATCCATTGGTTTTTTGACCAGTCCCACTCTCTCCAAGAGCCCAAGTTCTCCTATTTAACTGTTTAATAATTACTTATTCCAAGAGTCTTCTTTAAAGTTCCAGTGCCATTGAGAAATTGGTAGCATGTATTCTTTGCTTTTTCTTAACGGAAAGTGTGCATGTGGGGTGATAACTGCATTTTAATTTTCTTTACCTTGGCATAGGGTGGATGCAGAGTATGACCTTGACATGGAACTCAGTTAATACTGCTCCTGGTCAGCCAGCTGCATGTTTGTTATTGCCCCGTGGGAACTAAACGTGCTGCTTCTACAGTGACCTCCTCCACTCACCAGATCCCTGCCAACTCAAGCTGCGAGTGACCCAGTCTGGGATTTGAACTCGTGTCTCCAACATGGTGGCACACTGCCAGCTGTGTTTCAGTTTTTAAATGCTGTAGACTTTTAGTTTTGCTCTTTAGGGTTTGTCTTATTTGTCAGGACTTTTGAGGTCAAAGATGGGTCTCGCGGATGTACGGATCTGTGGGCGTAGGAGGGATGTAGGCATTTTTGACCCTCCTTTTAAAAACCTGGCCCTTGAATTCTTATTGCTGAATTACAGTCTGAAGAACAGAGGTTTATTTTTCTGCTTGTCGCTGACATTTTGGACACGATTTTGTTAGAGAAGGCCTTTAATTTTCTTTTAATTGACAGATTCACTGCAGATTTGCTTTTTTTTATGACCCATACACTCCAGTTATTAATGCCATAAGGTGACATTTTACAAACATTGCAAAGCATGTCCGTGGCATGTGAAACAACTTTGCTGGTCTCAGCTTGATAATTAATGGGCATTAATCTATGTCTGAAACCCACCATGCTTCTCTGCAACCAATGTCTGTAGTTTTCTGCTTGGGCAAGGTCTGGAAATGCACAAGCTGTATAACAAAATTACTTTTCACTTGTGGGGTGGGGAACCCACTCAGAGCTCAAGTCATTGTCTGGGGGGGTGGTGTCTGGAGCTTTCTGATCGGAAGGCGCTGCCCAGTGGATACAACAGACTCCAGCTACCACCCTCGTCACTCTCTATTGTTCCTCCTCTGTCTATTAAGATGAAAGAGGAGCTGAGTGGCATTATTTATTTTTTATGATGCCATTTAAAACACATTTCCTAGATGTCTGCTGGTGAACGACTGCTTTGACCTAGGTTTGGTTCTCATATCTTCATGTACTGCTACAATGTTTTCGCGGATCATTTTTTTTTTCCTGTTATCCCATAAAAAGAGGAGATGGTGCAAGCTACGCACACAGTCTGTACAGAT